AGGAGAGAGAGAGAGAGAGAGAGAGAGAGCTGACGAGGGAGGGAGGAGAGGTCCTCCGCTCCCAGGTACCTCAGGCGGCAATGGCCGCCGTGCTGGCTCAGTCGCCCTGCTGCTGCTCCGCTTGCCGCTGCGCTAATGCTGCGCTGCCGCTGCTGCTCCTTGCTCGCTCAGTCGCCCTGCTGCTGCTCCGCTTGCCGCTGCGCTAATGCTGCGCTGCCGCTGCTGCTCCTTGCTCACTCCTGCGCTAAACTTAGCGCATCAAAACAGCGCTCTGGCGCTGACCATAAGGCAGCGGTAGAGTGCCGGTGGTTCGATGCCTCCAAGTGAGGCTGTACCGGTACTTATACCGGTGGGGCAGAGGCCGGCCTCAATGCTGCGAGGCCTGGCCATGCCCTGAACCGTCCAGATGGACGGTTCAGCCTCCATCGGCGGGTGGCAGCCTCAAGAGCCGCCAGGTCCAAACGATAATGCCGTTTGGGCCTGCCCATCGGGTACTGGTCCAAGATCAGACCTTTAGGGCCTGTAATACCCCAAGGTCGGACCTTTAGGCCCTGATGTGTCCTTCGGCCCTAAGTCGGGTCCGGTAGGACCCGTGTGCGTCGAAGATGTAACAGCCGTCGTGCCGAGTGCAAATGCCTGTGCGGCTTGCACGTAGGTGCGTGTTCGCGTGTGTGCGTGCCTGTGCATTTAGGAGCGCACACATACAGAAAACACACAGAGTAAATGACACGTGCAGACACGCGCGCTTACCGACACAGGCGCACAGGAATGGCATCTCTGCCCACGTCCAGGTCTCTCTGCTGCATGTAGGTAGGTGCGTGTGCTCATGTGTGAGCCTTTTTGTGAGGCTGCGCTTACCTCGGTTGTTGTTCGTAGTTTTGTGTCGTTTTCTTTTTTAGGAAATGTCGTGGAAAGGTGACATAAACGTACTTACCCCCCCAAAAAAAGGCAGGTCCAAACAAAAAAGGCAGGTCCAAACAAAAAAGGCAGGTCCAAACAGACTATTTGGACAGGTCCCAAGTTCCCATGCACCTACGTCGATGCGGCACAGACTTGTGCATGTGCATGTGGACACACACGCAGCGACATGTCCCCTTGCCTATCTCCGTGCGTGTGTATGCGCAAGTGTTGTCTAATTTTCTGATCCGCAATTATACCCCTTTATAGAGAATTGCGCTCAGCCTTCATCTCATTTTCTCCTCGGACGTTGGATGTAATTCAACGAGGATGACAACCCACAGGCAGAGGAAGCGAAAGAGAGCAGTCTCACTCATGATGACACGTGGATGATCCCGGCCAGTCTGCTATGCTCTACGCCGCTGGCCTTGTTCAGGGGCTCGAAGGAGGAGGGGCTAAGGACACTGAGGGCAGATTTCCACATCCAGCCTCGTCAGTGCCATCGGGACAATCGGATTTCCCATCGCATCTACCTCCATCTACACACCAGGTGCCATAGCATTTGACCTTGTGCGGCAGACACGTGTAGCTTTGACAGAAGCTCGCGTTCTCATCGCTTCCATCTGCACAATCTTCGTTGCCATCGCAGTAGGAGCCTGAGATGACCTCCGTCCAATCGCTACTGCTGCATCTAATTCGCGAAGAAGCCTCCATTATCCTGCCAGCCTCTGCGGATGCGCAGAAGGTCGCGTTCTCATCGCTGCCGTCCAGACAATCCTCCATGCCATCGCATATACGTCCGGCGGAGATGCAAGTTCTCGCTTGCCCAGGGCATTTAACCAGCCTGAGGAACGACGACTCGGGGCATGCCTCCTGCGACTCGCAGAAGGCCGGATCTTCGTCGGACCCATCCTCGCAATCCTGCTCACCGTCGCACCATCTTGACTCTGCTATGCACTGTCGCCCATCCTTGCAGAAGCGCCTGTCGGCGGAGCATTCCGTCCTGCAGAGCTCGGGGTCCTCATCTGAGCCATCCCGACAGTCCTTGATGCCGTCGCACAAGCTCATCCACTGCGACTTGCAAATCCCGCTTGGGCAGCTGCCGTGATAGCACGAGTAGGTGTCGCACCCGACCTCGTCCGTGCCATTGGGGCAATCGGGCACGCCGTCGCAGAAGTTGCCCCTGTCAATGCAGGTCTGGTTGTCGCCGCCTGGGCACTTCACTCTCTGATCATAGGGACTGACCTGCTTGGGACATTCGGTTGTGGCACACCAGGTACCCTCATCGCTCCGGTCGGGACAGTCGGGATTGCCGTCGCACATAAGATTCTTGTCCAGGCATTTACCGCTGTCGCACTGGAAGTGCGCGCTGCGGTCCTTGGATCGCGCACAGCCGCGCTGCTTGCACAGGTTGTCGCTCTCGTCGCTAGCCCCCGGGCAGTGTGCGACACCGTCGCACAGGTTCGACTCCAGGACGCAGCGACTGCTGTTCGTGCTGCCTCCATCCGGACAGGGCATCCTCCTCGGGGGTGAAGGTCTCCACGTGCCTATCGTCGTGTCCACAGCCCGGTGCGACACATCTGCCATACAGTCGTACGTCGCGCAAAACGCCGGGTCCTCATCTGATCCGTCCGCACAGTCCTTGACCCCGTCGCACAGGTAGTACTTGTACGGGTCTTGAAAATCATAGCGCCATTTGCCGTTGCCATCACTGACATTCATGCAGAAATTCGCTCTGCTTGGACAGTCGTATCTGTCGGCAGAGATGCAATCGAAGGAGGCGCACCGTGTCCCTTCATCTGAACCGTCGATGCAGTCCTCCACGCCATCGCACTCTCTGCTGGGCTGAATGCACTGCTCGATCCCACTATGACACTGCTTGAAGCCGCGAAAGCAGTAGAACCTGTCCCCATACCTCACGCCATTGACTGCAGGGGTGCCACGTGTCGCTTCAAAGAACCTGCTGGATATGATCATCAGCAGGAGCGCCGTAATGGGCGTCATCACGTTCCTACTCATCCTCTCCCTGCTCCTCCTCCTCTCTGTGCTTCTTGCACTCCGTTCTTCTACCCCTGCACACACGGCACAGCGCAGGACCTGGTCAGCATAGGTCACACGTCCTCCCCCACCTCCCCCTCTCCTTTTTCCCAGTTGCACGAGTTTCACGTCTTCTCTCGCCTGGGCCTATGTCCCTCTCTCCCGCGGATTCTTCCTTTTTAACTCTCTCTCTCTCTCTCTCTCTCTCTCTCTCTCTCTCTCTCTCTCTCTCTCTCTCTCTCTCTCTGTGTGTGTGTGTGTGTGTGTGTGTCTGTAATTTTGACTAATTCGTCGTAATCTAGCATGATATTCCTTTGTTCTTTAATGTTGAACCCCACAACTATTCCTTCTCAACAAGCTTTCGCTGAAGAAATGCCTTTTTGATCCCAACAATTCCCCACCGGGCATGACAGGAAGCAGCACCTTTTTTTTTTTTTTTTTTTTTTTTTTTTTTTTTTTTTTTTTTTTTTTTTTTAATACACGCTGTACCTTTTTGATTGCAACAGTACCTTTCCGGATCGCAAGGATACCCATTTCCCCGACTGTCTTGTTGGGAAGGTAGATTTGCAGAAAATATTCATCAGAGGGTATCTAGGTAGCCGGGACGGATATGCCGGCTCGTCCTCGATATCCGACCCAACCCCTACACGGTCATCACCCCCAACTTGGGTATGATTGGCCCAGCGCTTCTTTTTTTTTTTTTTTTTTTTTTTTGTGAGGAACTGCACCTGCTGGAAATCGGGTCCAGCGTACATGATTGTATGTCACGCAATAGCATGAAAATCAATAGCAAATGAAACACCAACCTCAGTCAACGTTCATTCAGGACATTCATGTCAACAAGCAGGGGTGAGAAGAAAAAGAAGCGGTAGAAGAAAGAAGAAAGGAGGAAGAAAAAGTCAACGAGAGCATGTCCCGAACGCGACTATATAATCGAAAAATTAACATGAAGAACAAGAAGCGGAAATCCTTGATTTCTGGTCGTTGATCTTCCAAATCTGCGGTCAGAAATCGATCATTCGGGTAAGTGGGACTTGGCCCCAGGTCTCATCAGGGGTCTAAGTCGGTAAAAAGACATGATAACCAAAGACTTATATATCTAACAAATACCTGCTACGGTCGACTACAGACTAAAGCCGAAGTCTCTGGAAACCATCGTAGCGCACATATTGACAAACGCTCCTCGTTCAACATTCTGACCGGATGCATCGCCTGCAAACTGTATTGCGCTCAATATCTTTCACCAACAAAAAAGCGGAATACGCAGTCTATCAGTAGTAACTGTGACTTCCCGAAGCAGCAAGTGTCGGTATAAGAACAGGGAAAAAGAAAAAAGAAAAAGGAAAAAAGAAAGTAAAAAGAAAGAAAAAGAAAGAAAAAGGAAAGAAAAAAGAAAAAAGAAAAACTTCCAAAGACAACCCATGCCGATTCAGACACTGCCACCTCATGCACTCACAAAGCCCGTTCCATACGGTAGCAAACCTACAGTCTTCAAAAGACAACCCATGCCGAAGAAAAGAAAGAAAAAGGAAAAGAAAAGGAGAAAAAAAGAAAAGAATAGAAAAGGACAGTCTCCTCATAGGCTCACCCCACAAAGAACGACCCGTTACACCTCCAGCGGGACAAAAACACAGTCATATAAGCAGCACCGCCACCCAGTGCGGTACCGCTGTTCCTTCCAACCGGACGACCCCCTACACCGGGGGCCCACAGTAAACCGACTTCCTCTGAAAAACCCGGTCCCAACCAGTTCAAACCGGGATCGAATCCTTCCATAACCCCCCAAACTTCTTTGAGAAACTGACCAAGGCGCAATCAAACAGACTATCCGGGTACCCCCTCTTCCACAGCTCACATTTCAACGAGAACATGATTCGCCCAGCGCAAAATCACCAATTCGTGATTTCTCTCTTCGAGTTCTGCTATTCCCTCTTTCCCCGATTATTCCCTCTATAGATAATAATCCGCTAATATTCTCCAAACACTCGTTTAGCAATGCCATTCATATGTATTTGATAGATCACACCCCAGACAGATTACAGCCGTTCCGGTTCCCCCAGCACCTCCCCCCCCCGGCCCCCCAATTGGTCTTTTTGGGTTCTGAAATAGCAGTTAAAATCGCCGTCCAAATTTTGTATTTCTTCCCCCCCAACCCCCCTCCCTCCCCCCCCAAATGAAATAGCCGCGAGTGCGCTATTGCGTTTGTTGATGTGGCAGCCGTTCGCTGTCAAAGGCAGCCACTCTGAGCGTCTGGGCCCTCTGGGGTGAGGGATTAAAAACAGGGAGTGAAGGGAGAAAAGGGGGAAGGAGAAGGGAGAATTTGGAAAAACGGAGACACAGGGAAAGAGAAACCGGTGCAGAGGTCCCAACAGACAGTACGGGGCAGAGTGGGGAAGTAATGACGGGCAGGGAGACAAGAAGTGAGAGGCAGAGAAAATGCACACGCACACTCACAATACAAATGCGAGACCGGGGAGGGGGGAAGGAGAGGAGGAGGTTGAAGAGCAGGAGGAAGAAACAAGGGGAAAGTTAAATATTTCCCCTGAGAGACAAAGAAACAAGGGGAAAGTTAAATATTTCCCCTTAGAGACAACCTGGGAAAGTTAAATATTTCCGGTGAGAGACAACCTTTGTATTCATTGGCCCCAAACGGGGCAAGAAGTCGGGCAGGCCCCAAAATGTATTTTCCCGGTTAAACCGGCCAGACTGAGTGGGCTTTACCGGCCCAGCCAGGGTGCAAAAATGACCCGGGGCAAGGTCCCACTTGCGCAAATTAGGAGATTTCGGCCGTTGATCTTTGCTATCTACGGTCAGTATCTCTTAATTCGTGCAAGTGGGACCTAGCCCCGGAAAAGTCATTTTTTGGGAAAACACTTTCTGGCCATTTTTACACAGGGGGTGTTCTTTCGCACCCGAGGCTAGGTCCCACTTGCACGAATTAAGAGAAACTGACCTTAGATAGCAGAGATCAACGGCCGAAATCTCCTAATTTGTGCAAGTGGGACCTTGCCCCCTAAAAGTCATTTCTGGGAAAACACTTTCCCGCCATTTTTACACAGCGGGTGTAACGGGCCCAGCAAGGGTGCAAAAATGACCCCCGCCATTGTTGCACAGCGGGGGCCTCGGCCCACATGCAAGGTTTAGTAGCAGAAAATGAGACTGGGCCACAGCACGGCGGGCGGGAAAATTCTGCTGTCAGTACTGGGAGGCTTTTGACTCCGTCCTATAGGCACGGCAGGAGGGCCATCAGCCAGCATGACAGGTCGTCGAATTGCTACATCTGGGGCGTGGTCCCACTACCAAATAGAATTGGATGGAACGCCTGAATCTAGACGTCTCCAACCGAAAATCTACGGTATGGAGTTGACTCTTTACTAGGCCTTTGGATGATGCAGAAAATCAAGATTGAACTGGTTTTCTGCACCTCTTCTCAAAACACGTCCAGATTCCGGAGCTTAATCGGATCCTCTTTGCAAGTGGGACCTGCCCCTGTTGAGTTGCGTAAATCCCCCTGCCTTGTCACGTGTTACCGGAAGTCAGTGCTTCATGCGAAGGCCTATTCTGCCCGCCAACAGACGACCGATGAGGAATTAGGGCGTTTAGTTAGCTATGACACTTTTTTTACCATAGTAAACCAAACAACCGCGACTCCCAATGACGAACTACATCCCGAACCCGTGCTATCTTTCGTACCCCTTCTTTTGCTTGTATCATACCAACCCCATGAAAACCCCATTTCGTTTTTTTGATTTCAGGTGCCGCATTTTTGGCCCCCATCTTTTGGAAGCTTTTTCGATTCCCGGGTTCTGCTTTTCCTTTTTGCCATTCGCGAAATACATAGGAAATTAAGTGCGCCTTAGCGAGCGCACAGGGAATTGGGTCCGGCAGTTGGGAATTCCGGGATAAGCGGAACTTCGACGTGTCCTTTTTGTGTGTGAATGTTCTTGGTCGCGTTGGGGAAAACTCTCGGAATTATGTGCGAATACGAATAAGCGTAGGGTTTTCTTTTCCCGCGTCGCTTTTTCGCGCGTGGATATGGTGATTTCAATTTTGAATTGGTTTAGGACAGAGACAAGCCGTAACTCTTTCGGTGCCTTTTTCTCTCTTTTTGTTGACGGCGCCGCGCATGCAAAAGCTTTCTCCTCTCTGTCCCCCGCATCGCTCCCTCCCACGCTCCCTTTCCCTTCTCCCTCCTCTTTCTCTCTCTTCGTAACTGTTTTTTTCTCTCTCTCTCCCGCTCTGCTTTTGCGCGCCCATTTCCCTTTCTTGATCATCTGAATCTTGGACCCATCTTGTGCTACTTCTCGCGCCTTTTCCTCGCCCTCTGAGTCCAGCGCACGACGCCCGGTCGATCCTTCCATAACTCCCGTTCACCAATCAGGGGCGTGGATCAATAGGATCTTCCTATTGCGCGACGAATCTGATTGGTTGAACCTTGAGTTTCGAGGGATCAACATGGCGTTCACCAAGCACTCTTCTCAAAGTCTTCTCCTCCTGCTTCTCCTCTTACACCTCAGCTTTCCCTTCGCTTTCTCCCCATTCTGTCTCCCTTGTCGCAACTATAAAATCTGCAAGCGCGTCCGCAAATCTCTCTTATGTTCTCGACTCCAAGCCAAACTTCCGGGAAGCAGTGGCTAGGCAGAGTGTTTTGATGCGAGTCGGAAAGTCCTGTCGGGCTGACGATAGGCTGGCCGGTTGCGCGCTGGATCGCCACGACGGACTGTGGGATCTGGGCGAACCGTGTAGAATTTACGACACGGGGTGACGATCGCAGTGGTGAAAGTTAGCACGCGACGGCCGGGATCGTCGGTGCGGGTATGAGGATCGATGATTGGAGTTGAGTGAGTGATTGGCCCAGGGCCATGTTGGAGTTAACGGCGAATGCGCCCTTGTTGTTGCGGATCTTTATTTTGGTGTGAGTGTACGGCGGCAACGCCGAACTGCCTCTTTTCGGATCTCGTCCCCTTTTATCTCGGCATCCCTTCCTCGTCGCTCTCTCTCTCTCTCTCTCTCTCTCTCTCTCTCTCTCTCTCTCTCTCTCTCTCTCTCTCTCTCTCTCTCTCCCCTCTATCTTTGAAAGATGATGTGTCTCGGTGTTTGTCCCCCTCTTGGATGAGAATGAATCAGTGCGCTTTCTTGTGCGAAAAAACTTCTTCCGGAACTCTTCCATTAGTTTCCTGGGTAGTCCCCCTATGCAAGAATTCCGTCTTCTTGTCTTGTGAACGGTGGATGCGTGTGTATGGTTCAAGCGATCCATCTTTTCCTGTGCATATCTCATTTTCGCACCTTCCAAAGTGAATGTATGCATGGAAGATGTATGACTTTATGCCTTGATTTGACGTCAGGATTTTGTTCGAGAATGCGAGAGTGTTTAGATCTCTAGTTTCGAATGCACTGCGCATGCCATCTGCCTTATGCTGCACGACATCATCAGCTGAGCCACGGGGCGGCCTCGAGAAACAAGGCGCCTGGGATCAACGTCGTAACCTGAGTCGTGGGTCGGTCCCTTAGTTGCATACATGATCAAGCTGATGAAGTGTCTTCTTTTTCTCTCTCTCTCTCGTGTCGAAAAAGACTGATTGTGGGTTGCGCGAGTGTTTTCTTTTCTTGATGACGTCTCAAGATTTTTGCGGTTGATTGATATGTGGACTGACAAGCACCCTTCGATCGGGCGCCAGCCTCCCGCATCTCCCGTCTCCACACGGCCTTTTCCCTATAACGAGGAAAGGACACGTGTATGCGAGTGGGACGTACGAGAAGCTGTCGCACGAATCGGCGGACAATATCACTTCCCTCCCGAGAATCGTTGCTCTGGGTTTGTGGATGCCGGGTTTGTCATTATTGACACACACTTTCCACCCTACTCAATTTTGCTCCCCTTTAACGAGCTGATCGTCATTCCGTGGACGGCAGTGGCGCCCCATTGGCCTCGAACCCTGTGTACAGAGTGCCAGCGTTTCGATCGCTACAAAGTGAAGGGATTCCACTACCGAATACGGAGTGAAGACGAGCATAAGGAAAAAGCCATGCGGTTGAGACCATCCACGTCCGACTCAGAACTGACCAGCGAACGACGACGGGATTTGATACGAAAACGAGACACGCGAAGCGTGCCAGAGCCTTTCTGTTCTAAACGACAGGCTGTAGCCCGGTGGGAAGCCCGACAATACTTTTTGGATTGAATTTGAATTTTTCTCTTTTCGCGTCGTGCTTGCGCGCGCATTTCGCGACGCGCGAAGGCAATCGACTTGCTTCATCGGACCAACACGGGGGATTTCAGTTTCGTCTGTGTCCTCGCACTCAATTTCCAAAAATCCTTGGCACACCCCATTTTGCTGTTTTTTTTCCGGACCTCTTTCCGCACATCTAACATTCCGAATGAAAGACTACATAAGGCGTGAGGTTGGTATCGGAGCCGACACGTGTCGGTTCTGATGATAGTGAGTCGAACTGGCGACAGGTAGGAGAAACCCTGAACGAGCTCGTCGGGATCGCCCAGTAACCAGGTCTCAGTGTGCTGCGGTTGCACCCGCAGTACCAATGGTGGACGACACTAGGGTGATCGTTAGCATCCCTGCCCCCTTCCCCTTCTTCCCTAACCATACCCATCCTGAGGCTTGGCTGGAAGCTATCGAAGCTCAAAACTACAACGCAGACGATCTTCCCCACGTTCTGACATTGCTACTCCGCAATACGTCGCATGAGTGATTTAGAAAACATACGTGGGTAGATTGGAATACTTTCAAACAAGCCTTTTTGGCTCGATTCGATACGATCAGTGAAGATGCCGCCAGGTACGTGCTAAAAAATCGGTCACAAGGACCAGGGGAATTGTTGCCTGATTTCGTGGATCAGTTTCAAACCACGTTGGACAAATCTGGGCGAGACGAGAAATCCGCTCGAGATTTGTTCATCGACCACCTACTAAGT